CCTCCGTAAAAGTAATAAAAATCTTTCCTGCTTTGCTGCCATCTCTTTTACTTCTGGATTGATGAGTATTGTGGACACTACTGATGTATCATTGGAGGCTAAAACTAAATAACAAGCTCAAATTAGATTTAAGGAAATGAGTCAATAAGCAGAACAGGAAGGAAACAGACCAATTTAAGCCTAGAAAACCACATACCATAGTGCAAGAGTTTAATGCCTTTCTTTTTACTCTAAAATTGGGGATGTGAACCTTCAGGTGCAATGTCTATGTGGGGTGACATTCCTACTCTCTCTCAAGTAGAAACATATTAATTAAAAAAAAAAAATCAAATTGGCACAAGTCAGTTGCCTTTAACCAGGCAAGATAAGTGTTAAAACACCACAAGAAAACCTGAAAGAAAAATCTTCTGAGAACATTCTGGAAAGACCAGAGAAGACAAGTGAAGAGAAGATTTAATCAGGACCGAGAGCCTTTTGGAGACTCCTCACAGACTGAAATGCCAGCCCTCCTTGGAGACTGCTTGCTGGATGAACGCAGGAAAGTTGGCCTGAGTTTGGTCCAGCATTAGAAGTTTTCATCTGAAGTTAATAACAATAGTGTGTCCTGGAAGGTATTAAACACAAAATCCTGTCAGCGCGTTGCCCAAGCAGTGAGGCACCACCTATGAATACTGAAACATAAATTGCCTGGGTGGGCCGGCTAAAGTACTGTTGCCTGAGTACCGTGAGCAAAGTGTTTGTCAACATTATTGCAGGGCAAAGTAAGCCAAACTAACAACAACTTCCCAAAAAACAGAGCAAAAAGGTATACTTTCCCATATGCATCAGAGGCTGACTCAGTGCAAGGCTCTGTTAGGATGTGAAGGGAAGTGTGTCCAAAGGCAGGAGAGTCCCCCTGAATAAGCCTTCATTTCCTGTTCTTAGTATTTTAATGCATTTACATTTAGCCAAGCATGGAGGGCCAGTGACAGTCTATTCCTTCATGGAAAAAGGAGGAAGACAGAACTGCTGGAGAAATCTGTAATTTTGATTTTGGGCTTGGAAGCTACTCCATCTTCTTAAGGTCCCAGAATCAGCCACGGAAGCGGAGGGAAGCCTCGCTGTACGTTGCACTTCAGCGGTGCCTTCGACTCAGGGGTTGGAGAAATCTTAAAAGACTATAATCAGGTTTTAGAATGTGCCAGGAGGTAGCTTTTATTCCCTCTGGTTTGCCTCTTGTGAAAGTGGGGCACTGAAAAGCTGATTTTTACAGTTTCCTAATGTTTGACACCTGCATGAGAAGGTCTCAGTTTCCGAAGTGCTACAGGGAAACGAGAGGAACCAAGGGGAACTGTTCTTTCTCACAACTTTGAATAGCAGCCACGTCTTTACTGAATTTGCTAGCATGCGAACGCTGGTGAAAGTCAGTACTGAAGCTGACATCAGTGTTTTGAGTACCTTTCCTCTAAGTGCTACATAATATTTCTCATTATCACTGTGGTTTTATCCTGTGTGGTGATTACTACACTGGGAATAAATCAATGACATGCAAACTGGCACAACTTTTGGCAAGCGCAATTGCCCATGAAATTTGTATCATTTTTCTCTTTCTGCCCAGCCTGCCAGCTTCAACAATCTTCCTCTT